AGAAGTCAGAAGATTGTTTCAAGGTTCCTGAATAAACTGCTTGGAGAAGAGCCTGGTGTTGCGTCTTCCTTGCTGGTCTAGGCGGACGCGACATCCTCCCTCCTGTGAATCCTTTCAGACCCCTAGCCCTTATCCAAACTAACCAAAAGGCAGAGAGAGAGAGAGCATCCAAATTAACAAAATCAGAAATGAAAAGGGAGACATAACAACAGACAATGAAAACAGCCAGAGAATAATCAGGTCACACTTCAAAAACCTGTACTCCACAAAATTGGAAAATCTAAAAAATGGACAATTTTCTGGATAGGTACCACATACCAAAGTTAAATCAAGACCAGATAAACAATTTAAATAGACCAATAACCCCTAAGGAAATTGAAACAGTCATTAAACGTCTCTGAACCAAAAAAGTCCAAGACCAGATAGTTTCAGCACAGAATTCTACCAGATTTTCAAAGAAGAGCTAATACCAATGCTCTTCAAATTGTTCCACACAATGAAAAGAGAAGGAACATTACCAAACTCTTTATGAGGCCACATTTACCCCAATACCAAAACCACACAAAGATGCAACAAAGAAAGAGAATTACAGACCAATCTCTTTCATGAACATTGATGCAAAAATACTCAATAAAACATTTCAAACCCCCAAATCAAGCTCTCACATGGGAAGTCAGCATAAAGAAAAATGAAAAAAAGAGGCAAAAAGCTAACTATACAAAACATAAAGAATACTTTATCTATTAAAAAAAATTGGCAAACCAAATCCAAGAACACATCAAAAAATTATCCACCTACAAGTAGGCTTCATTCCAGAGATACAAGGATGGTTCAACATATAAAAATCTGTCAATGTAACCCATCATATAAACAAACTGAAAGAAAAAAACACACGATCATCTCATTAGATGTTGTAAAAACCTTTGATAAAATCCAACACCCACCGGGCGGTGGTGGTGCACGCCTTTAATCCCAGCACTCGGGAGGCAGAGGCAGGCGGATCTCTTTGAGTTCGAGGCCAGCCTGGTCTACAAAGCGAGTTCCAGGAAAGGCGCAAAGCTACACAGAGAAACTCTGTCTCGAAAAACCAAAAACCAAAAAAAAATCCAACACCCCTTCATGATAAAGGTCTTGGAGAAATCAGGAATACAAGGAACATATGTTAACATAATAAAGGCAATTTACAGCAAGCCAACAGCCAACGTCAAAGTAAATGGAGAGAAACTCAAAGTGATTCCACTAAAATTAGGAACAACACAAGGCTGTCCACTCTCCCCATATCTATTCAATATAGTACTCAATGTTCTAGCTAGAGCAATAAGACAACAAAAGGAGATTAAGGGGGCACAAATATAAAAGGAAGAATTCAAACTTTTGCTATTTGCAGACGATATGACAGTATACATAAGTGACTAAACAAATCCTACCGGAGAACTCCTACAGCTGATAAACACCTTCAGTAGTGTGGCAGAATACAAGATTAACCAAAAAAAAAATCAACTATGTTCATAGCATCATTACTTGTAATAGCCAGAACCTGGAAACAACCTAGATGCCCCTCAAATGAAGAATGGATTAAGAAAATGTGGTCCATATACACAGTGGAGTACTACTCAGCAGTGAAAAACAATGGCATCATGAAATTTGCAGGCAAATGGATGGAACTAGAAAATATCATCCTGAGTGAGGTAACCCAGACTCAGAAGGAAAAACATGGTATGTACTCACTCATAAGTGGATACTAGATGTAAAGCAAAGAATAAACAGACTACAACCCACAGCTCCCAAGAAGCTAACTAACAAGGCGAACCCTAAGAGAAACACGTGGATCGCCCTGGGATGGAGAAATAGATAAGATCTCCAGGAGCAAACTGGGAGTGTGGAGGGGCAATGGAGGGTAGGGGATGGGGCATGAGAACATAAGGGAACTGGATGGTCAAACTGGAACAGGGACAGAGTGGGAGAGGAAGATATACCATGATAGAGGGAGACATCAAGGGAACAGGGAGAAACAGGGTATTAGGGTATTTCCCAGGAATCTACAGGAATGACCCCACCTTAGACTCCTAGCACTAGTGGATAGGGTGCCTGAACTGACCTACTCTGGCAATCAGATTGATGAATACCCTAACTGTCATCATAGAGCCTCTCTCCAGTAACTGATGAAAGCAGATGTAGAGATCCACAGCCAAGCACCAGGCCAAGCTCCAGGAGCCTGATTGAAGAGAGAGAAGAGGGATTCTATGAACAATAAACATCAAGATCATGATGGGGAAACCTACAGAGACAACCAAACCAAACTAGTAGGAACCCATGAACTTTGGACCAATAGCTCTGGAGCCTCCATAGGACTGGACTAGGCCCTCTGCATAGGGCAAGACAGTTGTTTCAGATTAACCTATTTAAGGGGCCCTTGGCAGTGGGTTCAGTATCTGTCCCTAGCACATGAGTGGGCTTTTTGGAGCCCAATATCTATGGTGGAATACCTTACACAGCCTTCGTTCGTGGGGAGCAGCTTATACCTGCCTCAACTGAATGTACCAGGCGCTGCTGACTCCCCATGGGAGTCCTTGCCTTAGAGGATGTGGAAATGGGGGTGGGTTGGGGGAGGAATGCTGGGGGGAGCAGGAGGAGGGAGAAGAGGGGCATCTATGGTTGGTATGTAAAATTAACAGAAAATTTCTTAATAATAATAAAGAGTTAATGCCAATGTTTCTCAAATTATTCCACAAAGTAAAATCAGTTGGAACATTGCCCAATTCCTTTTATGAGGCCACAGTTACCCTGATACTCAAACATAAAAACCCAACAATGGAAGAGATTAGAAACAAATTTCCTTTGTGAATATAGATGTAAAAATTCTCAGTAAAATATTTGCAAACCAAATCCAAGAACACATCAAAAAGATCACCCACCATGATCAAGTACTATTTATCCCAGAGATTCAGGGATCATTCAATATACAAAAATCAATAAAAGCAATCCACCATTTAAACAAACTGAAATAAAAAAAACACATGATCATCTCAATAGATGCAGAAAAGGCCTCTGACAAAATCTACACCTCTTCTTTAGAGAAATTAGGGCTACAAAGAACATATCTGGACATAATAAAGGCATTATATAGCAAGCCTACAGCCAACATCAAATTAAATGGCGAAAAACTCAAAGCAATTCCACTATATCAGGAATAAGACAAGGCTGTCCACTCTCTCCATATCTATTCAATATAGTACTTGATATCGAAGCTAGAGCAACAAGACAACTAAAGTAGATCAAGGGGATATAAATTGGAAAGAGAGAGGTCAAAATATCCTTATTTGCATATGAAAACATAGGCCCTAAAAATTACAACAGAGAACTCCTACAGCTGATTAAAATTTTCAGCATATTATCTAAATACAAAATTAAATCACAGAATCAGTAGCCCTTTTAAATACAAATGACAAATGGACTTAGAAAGAAATCAGAGAAACAATGTCTTTCACAGTGATCCCTAAATAATATAAAATATTAATCTTAAGGTAACTCTAAGAAAATGAAAGACTTAGATAATAAAAACTTCAAGTGTTTGAAAAATGAAATTGAAGAAGATATCAGAAGATGAAAAGCTCTCCCATGCTCATGGATTGGTAAGATTAACATAGTAAAAATGGCCATCCTATTAAAAGCAAACTACAGATTCAATGGCGTCCCCATCAAAATCCCAACAAAATTCTTCATAGAGTTTGAAAAGACAATTCTCAACTTGATATGGAAAAACAAAAAATCCAGGAGAGCTAAAACAATCCTGAACAATAAAAGAACTGTTGAAGGTATTGTCATTCCTAATAGTTCTACTACAGAGCTATAGAAATTAAAAAAAAAAAAGTTATGCCAGTCAGGTTACTGGCATAAAAACAGACACATTGATCAATGGACTCAAATTAAAAACCCAGACACAAATCCACATGCCTATGGACACATTACTTTTTTTTTTTTTTTAAGAAGAAACCAGAAATACACATTAGAAAAAAAGATAGCATCTTCAAGTAATAGTGCTGGTCAAACTTTAGTCTGCATGTAGAAGAATGCAAATAGATTCTTACTTATCACCCTGCACAAAACTCAAGTCAAAATGGATCAAGTACCTCAACATAAAACCAGGTACACTGGGCCTGGAAATAGAAAGTGGTGAATAGCCTTGAACTTATGACAGCTCATTCTTGGGAAGTTGTGGAGCAAAGGGAACACTCCTCCTGTGCTGGTGGGAGTGCAGACTTGAACAACCACTATGAAAATCATTCTGAGTGAGGTATCCCAGACTCAGAAAGATAAATATGGTATTTCTTCTATGTGGATGTTATCCATTAAATAAATAACAAAGCTACAATCTATTGACATTGGGGGGTTAGGTTATAAAAAGAAGTAACTAGATGGGACACATGGATCTCTCTGGGAGGGGAAAATAGAATACGTTTTATAGGTGGAGTGGGGACAAGGGGGATGGGAATGTGAGGATGTGGTGGGAAGTGGAAGGGTAAATGGACTTGATGGAGGGAATTAGGAGCAAGACAGCTAAAATTGTGGGGCATTTGAGGGGTGATATGACTCCTAATGACATGCTTCTATACCCAGAGATCAGTGCCTCACTCAAACTCCCTGTCACCTCTTGAGCCAACACTATCTCAGGAACATCTCACTCACCATTCCTAGGGCTCTGGTATTTGGACGCTGTTAGGGATCCCTGGCACTGTTGGTCAGTCTTTCCAAGAATGCCTCACTTTCCAGACTGAGAACCATGAACCACATGCAGTGTGTTTAGTTTGGGGCTTACAGGACAGATGACCATTCTCCCAAATAACTGCTACCTGTAACTTTGCTAGAGCAGAAGGTCTCCACCCACTACACCCCCCTTAAATTATCACTTCCTAAACTCTACCCCCAGACTTCCACAGAAGTTAATTTTTGGTCTCAAAGACTCAAAAGAAAACAAATGAGGAAAGAAACACACACAGTAGTAAAGAAAGACCTTTTATAGGAAACATTAGCATTATTTCAAAGCATCATGAAAATGTAATGAACTATGGTGGACTGATGGACACGACTAGCTGAAGTTGAGTTGTTAAGCAGTTCAGATTGAGCAGAAATGAGATATGTTCAATCAACAGTATCTCGGATGTTGCTCACATCATTATCCATATAGAGGTACGTTGAGACTTGAGATAGAAGTCATGACACAAGCCACCACATTAAAATTCATCAGAAAAGGGATATTCTGGGTGGCCTTCACCACTAAAATAGAAAAGAAAAATATAAAATATTAATGCTTGGGTTCATTTCTATGGTAGTAAAGGCAGATGTCTATGATACTATCTTTAGACTTGACCACTTAATTTTCCTGGCTGGTTACAGAGCCTGCTGTTTTATTTTTTTAAACTTGACTATGAAGGAAATGTTTTTTAAAAAGTATGACTGAATTTTTTAATTAAATTCTCTTGCCTAGAGAAGGAAAACACAGAGACAGACACTGATACATGTACTTTCCTTTTACTTCTATAGTCAGTCTGTCAAAGCACAGAAGGAAAGATTATGTATCATTTCAGTCTCTCAATAAAAGCAAAAACTTAATGTCATATTTAATGGAGGTCTAATCATTGATAATCACAAAATAATGTGGAGAATACAGCTAATAGGTACTAATTTCCTTGCAATTTAATTTGTGCATTATTTATGCACTGACCATCACATGCGACATAATGTGTTTCATTCAGATAATGTCTCTAATAAGATAGATTTCTATGTCTAAAGATTAAAAACATATAACTTGTAGATCTCTATAGTTTAGCACCATTACAAAATATAAAATGACAAAATTATTACTTACTAAAATATTTAATAGGTGGCAAGAATTACTAAATGCTTGCCACTCTCTAACACGCATTATGTCTCATCTTTATCCTTCAATTCACTCTATTAATAAAATATTCTATTAGTAATGATAATGTACATGCCAGTCTTTTTAAAATTATTATATCTACTTCCATTGTGAATTAAAATTTCCACAGATAAAAGGGATCATGTGTCCCTAGTTTGTCTTTATTTGAAATATGTATGAAATATAAAATTATATAATCATTGAGCAATAAGGAGGAATAAAGATTGTTAAAGGCTATCAATTTCATCAGTAATAGAACTTTTTTTCCTAGTCTTCCTTTGGTATTAAATCTCTTTCTGCATAAACTTTATTTTCAATATTGAGATATTCATAACTCAGAAACAAGAAAAATAAGTTAAAAGAGTCTTAATGGCAGCTTTCAAGAAACTAATGAAGTGATTGGTTTCTGAACAAACATTCACTGAAAAGAAAAACACAGAAGCTAAAATAAATTGTGGCACATTTATAAAAGTGACTTACAATGGAGCAGGTGCATATCTTAAATTTCTGTTCAGGCTATCTAGGATTTTCATATCCTCTGATGGCAGCTCAAATTCAAATACCTATTAAACAATTAGAAACATTTTAGGACACTACCGATTTGCAAATTTTTAAAACCCAAGTGAATTCCATTTTATTCTTTAAAGGCAACTTTTTAATATACCTAAAAAAAACTTCTGAAAGGTATTAGACATCAAGCAAGATACTCAAGTGGTCAATGGGTGTCAGATAAAAGTTAAAGGAAATCACTTTTGAGAAATGTTGAAGCAGTATAATATATCAAAAGGACCTGCAGCAGATATAAATCTGATGTTATTCAAAGACGTGGTCTTTGAATAAGATTTCAAACAATCTAGAGTAAATTTCTGAACCATTTATTTTTAATATTTACATGAATAGGAACAATTCTTTGCAACACAATTTAAGTCAAGAATTATTCAAGTGTTAATTCCATAATTTCCAATAAAGAAAGAATTTGACTTGAAGAAGATTTCAATGGCTGGCACTGGTTACTTTACATAAAAACAATTTTTACTAATTTCTAAAATAGTGACACAAATAGATCATCAAATCCTTTGTTATTTCTCCAAAAATGGTGATAAATAAATAGAAGGAGGGAAAGGAGGTAGGGAAGGAGGGGGAGAAGGAAAGAGGATGAGAGGGAGGGAAGGAGTAAGGGAAAGAGGGAGGGAGGCAAGAAGGGAGGGAGGCAGGGAGAGAGGGAGGCAGAAAGGAAGGAGAAAAAGCTTCAAGTGTCAAAATGGAGCAACTGATCCATCTAGTAAAAAGCACTGAGCAAACCTTTGTATTTAAAAACTAACAAAAAAGCAAAGAATATATTATTAAAAGATAATAAGTAGCACTACTTCTCTATCAATAAACCTAATAATATATGCAAATACATTAATAGAAAAAAACTAAGAAAGTTATTAATATACTAAAAGTCCACCAAAAATTGTAAATTCCCATTATAGGCACATATTAAAATTCTTAATATTTCAAAACTTCAGTTCTTCCTCAATTTATGGATAAGTTTAATGTTTAGATATTTAAGCACCAAAAGATGTAATCAAAGTAAGCAATAATAAATGATGAAATTCTTACATATATAAGTATTATCTGTCCAGAAAATCATATTTTTATTTTTTATTAAAATATAATTATATCATCCTCTCACCCTTTGCTTTCCTATCTCAAACTTTCACATGTCTCCTTGTTACTCTCTCCCAAATTCATGGTCTCTTTTGTTAAATTATTCTACACACACACACACACACACACACACACACACACACACACAAATTCAGCCTGATGAAACTGTTTAGTGTTGTTTGTATGTTTATGATTCATGGCCAGCCAGTTGGTATTGGATAAACAAGGACCCCATCCTAAGGAAGACCAATTCTTCAGATCTTAGGCTCTTAGAATTCTTTAATCGTTTATAGTTCTTTATCTAATTATGATCAATTATGATCCCCTATGAGATTTCTGCCTTACAAGTAGGAGTGTCTATTGGCATTGTCTTTATCCAGGTCTTGTTTAAGTGGCCATTTGAGGCAAGGTAATTTGTCATATTTTGAAAAAGGGTGAGTATAAATAAGACAAAGAGAATCCATGAATATGATTATTCTTGCTGGCAATACCACATAGCCACATAGAACATTATTAAGTGTTCTTTCAATTTTTATTTTACATTATTTCAGAAACTGTACTTCAATTGGAGTTTGGGAAGAAATAATGTAACACTTTTAAAATTATATATATATATATATATATATCGCATATGATGTTCTTTTCCAAATAAGGAAAAGGACATGACATTTAACCACAACGTAAAGGAATCAAGAAACACAATAAAGAGAAATTTCTGCTCATGAAAATAGACAAAGAGAGAGTGAGGGATGGAGGGAGGGAGAATGAGAACACAGCAGAATTTAGGATAGAGTAAATGTATCTGAATTTGCATGGTAATTTATATGGAGAAGATATAATTGCAGGAAATTAATTCCAACTCATATTTCCCAGTCTCCATACCCCATGCAAGTATTCACCTACTTCTACCAACAGGCAGGTCCATATTCCCACTCCTTTAATCTTAGCTGCTTCTATCCTTTTGCTATTTCCATGTGTGTATGCATGGCATGCATGTGTGTTTTTCATGTAGGTGCTCACATGTGTGTGTGTGGCATGTGAAAGGCTGAGGTTCACACCAGGCTTCACCCTCATGGCTCTTGTACCTATTTGCTGAGGCAGGATCTCTCCATTAGACCCAGAGCTCACCAATATGGCTATTTTCACTAGTCAGCTTACTCTAGGGATCCTTTATCTCTGCCTGAAATGTTGGAATTAGAGGGGGGCACCACATCCACCTGGAATTTTATGAGTTCTACAGATCCACGTTTGCTTGGCAAGAGCTTTAACTGCAGGGCCATCTCCCAGCTCTTAACTTAGCAGAATAAATGACAGATAATAATTTGCCTAGGTTTAAAGTCTTTGCCAATATCTACTCAACGAATTAAAAGAAGAATATGTGAGGAACTAAGCCTATGCCAATTGGCTAGAGAATGAAAACTATCTGAAGCTAAAGAATATCAGGCAAGAGATCACCTATATCCTGAGGCAGATGGACCTCATCACTTGCAAACACACACACAACAGTTCTGTGAACATACTTGAGTAAACTCAAGGTAGACAGATGCCTCAGTGTTCTGGGAGAACTCTAGAAAATTGTAAAATCATAGAATAATGAACTAAACAAATAATCTTTATATTAAAGCACTAGGTTGGGGCTGGTTCATTTTTTCAACTGTTGTAGGTAATGGTATAACAAAGTTCTTGTAGTTGAAAAGAGAAGATCATCAACATAGGTAAGTCTCAAGAAAAGAATATGCAGTTAGCCTGTAAAGCAACTCAAAAGAAATAAATACATCCATATTAAAATATGTGAGCATGATGCTGGCAATGGCTCAGTGGTTCAGACACTAGCTGCTCTTCCAAAGCAGATTAGAATCCCAGGACCCACAGGGCAGCTCACAATCATCCACAAATCCAGTTCCAGGGCATGTGATACCCTTTTCTGGCCTGTACAGGTACTAGGCATGTACATGGTACACACACATGGCACATACATGTATGCAGCCAAAACATCTATACACATAAACAAAAATTAATAAACAAAAATAAAATAAAATATGTGAATATGCAAGTCAAATACAAAATAAAGCCACAAAAATTTATCATATGAAAACATCTGCCCAAACTTAAACTCTCATGTCATCTAACAATGAAAAGATCCATTGCAAAGATGTTCAAAGTGCATGGCTGACTTAATTCTCAATTCTAAATTTCTGTGCTCTCTCTAAATCTAATTTTATCAAGCTAAGTTGTCAATTGTATTGTAGAGTAGAACAAAACATTTGTGAAAGCAACTGAAATCTCACATGAGTAGGAAATGATAGGGAGGTTGACTTATCCAAAAAATTCCCTGAGAGACTTCAAAGAAGAAAATAGAAGAGAGATAATGTGTAAGAGTCCTGATGCCCACAGCCTCCCTGGTCACCTGTAAGTTCTCTTTTATCTCATTCTCTTTGTAACTCTGGGCAAGGACCACAATTCCACGTTGAAGATGGTAACGAAGAGCAATCTGGGCCGGACTTCGCTTGTGTTTTTTCGCCATGTCACAAAGAACTGGATCATTCAAGAGAACTGGGGAGTTTGGGTCCACCCTGGAAATAAAGGCAGATATTTTTAGTTTCAAAAGCTGAGAATTGTTCGGAGGCTTCAAAACCAGGGGTCTTCAAAAGAGTCCTTGGATTAGCAACATTTCCATCACCAAGATGTCAAACATGCAAATTCTCCTCTATCCCTGAGCAAGTTCAAAATGAGTTTCTGATAAGTGAGTTTATAGTATTGAAAAGATTTCACCAATACTGCTGTTTGAAGTAAACTCCCTACTGTCCTTACCATCGTTTAGGCCGCTGAGATCCAAGAGCACAGTAGGCAACTAGAACAATGTCCTTTGACTTGCAGTAGTTCAACAACTTGCTCTGGTTCAGGTAAAGATGGCATTCCACCTATAGATGGACAGACAGAAAGATGATATCTGATTATGTGAGATGCTAATGCGCATGTAAAAGAGGATCACTAAAGATAAGTACTTCAATAAGAAAATGTAACAAGCCAGGTGGTGGTGGCCCACACCTTTAATCCCAGTACTCGGGAGGAAGAGCCAGGTGGATCTCTGTGAGTTTGAGGCCAGCCTGGTCTACAGATCGAGATCCAGGACAGGCACCAAAACTACACAGAAAAACCCTGTCTCAAAAAACCAAAAAAAAAAAAAAAAAAGAAAGAAAGAAAGAAAGAAAATGTAACATACTTAGACTATCAATATAATTTAATCTGTGTCTTTAAAACTTAATTTCACATCTGTATTACTAAAAGATACACAAAAATAATTTTCTGGTGATAAACTAATTCTATGAACCAGATCTTGAAGTTTAAATTCCATTTTGCATTACAAAGAGAAAACATAGTGTTGGCTTGAAGACATTTCCAGAAATCATTGGGAAATTTAAATATAGACAGGTTCAAATTCAGTAAGAGAATTGTTGTTAATTTCTCTAAATATAAGTCTGACAATGTCTGATAACATCTTCATTATTGGAACATATTTTCTGAGCTCTCTGAAGGTGAACACTCAAAGAAACTACTTTGAGCAACTTCATAAGAATATTGCAGAAATAGGGTCAGTGAGATGGCTCAGTGAGTTAAAACACTTATTGCCCAGCCAGACTTGAGTTTGCTCCATGAAACTCACAAGTAATCTCCTGTCCTACTCCACATATGCATCATAACACACACACACACACACACACACACACACACACAGAGAGAGAGAGAAAGAGAGAGAGAGAGAGAGAGAGAGAGAGAGAGAGAGAGAGAGAAGCATACATTCATGCACACACACATGAATGTAATTTTGAAAATTAAAGAAAATATTACATATATGTGGAGATATACCCTATATGGGTATATTTGTCCAGGTAACAACCTCACTGTTTTGAGATATAGGTTAGGTAAGAAGCAGAAATAGTCTGCATCAGCCTATCAATTGTTCAAGATGTTTGATGAAAATTATGATAAGAAATTTTTGAGAAAATTAATACCAAGTCTAAATAAATATTGAATATTTATACTGGAAAGTCACAATTTTGTGTTGTTATATAAAGACTTAATGACTCAAAATTGTATTTTCTGTGGGAAGAAGGCTGCTAACAGCAGACAAGTTCATGATAGCTAAGTTAGGGAACCAACACAGCAACCCACAACAGAGGAAAGGATGGAGCAATGTGATTTCTAAGCACAATTGAAGCTTTCAGCTATAAAAATGTATAAAGTTAAACTGTTTGCAGAGAAATTAATGCATTGGAGATAATCACAATAAGTAAATCAATTTCTAAAAGACAAGCACCTCACTTTTTTCTCTCATTTGTGAGTCCTAGCCCTTGTGGATACATGAAATCCTATATGTACAGATGACTTCGAAGTAGAGACAAACTTCTTAGGCAACAAAGAAGGAAGAGGAAGGGATAGAGAGGTGCAGTTCTGCTGCTTCTTCCAGATCATTGGCTGCATTGGTCCATGAGGATGGAGGGAGTAGAAGCCGGGAACACGGTTAGGTCAACTGTGGATATGAAGAAGACAGCCCCTTGGGAGACAGACTTCAACAAATCAGCTCAACTTTATCCTAAACTATAAGGAATATATAGGATTGGGAAGTTTGGGGACAAACCCTAATTTGCATTAAATGGCACACTTCTATCTCAAGGCTTCATATGTGGCAGTAGGGTCCTATAGCAGAGCTTCTAGCACAAGTATTCTAGCAGGAATCTGTGCCAAGGTCAAGCTAAAGATAAATCAGGCATCTGGCTTAAAGACAGCTTTTAGATAAGGTCAGCACTCTGGACCCAGAGACATTATCCAGATAAGGGCAGGTAGAAAGTTTCACTGGGGAGGGAGAGGTTCTCTATGTGCCAAGCTTTTGGGAAAAGCTGCCAGGCCATGATAGACTGCAACCTCTGACCAGGCAGCAAGGCCTTCCAACAGAGAGTGCAGTGGAATGGTGGTGGGGCCGGTGGCAGGCAATGCTTCTGTTACGTCCAGCACACTGCCCTATTCTTGTGCACCCAATAAGATGCTTTCCTTATTCTGGTCTATAGTGAAATACTTTAACTGTCTGCCAGTCTCTTCTTTGCTATCATAGTAGCCGGTTCACTACTGTTTCCAGACAACAATATTTGCTACATCATGAGAATATGTTAGATTATAATAAAGAACAAAGGACCACTCACAGAATATATGCATTTAAGTTACTTTTAGGAGAGGAGGAAGAAAAGAAAAGCTCACCGGGAGGTTTTCGACACAGAATCAGCTGTATGTTCTGCATATAGTCCCTGAGTGTGGATTTTATCCAACACTAATATCATCATAAACAGGCAATCAGTGAAATGTACATGGTTTTTAGAATTCTAGTCTAAATTTTCAAGTCAGAAATTTCAGCTCTGTCTCTGTTTCAAAACCCCAAGACCAGATATACTAAAAGGAAGGAGTAATTCCTTTATCTCCAAAACTGCCATGCCCACTCATCTCTCTCATTTTCATTCTTTCCTTTTCCTGCTCATTTCATGTTTTTCTGGACTTCTCACTAGAAATCAGTCCATTTGCCAGCACCTTCATTTGTCTGATACATTACATTTTTCCCAGCTCATGGATAAGTCTACTTTGATCCTAAAATACTACTAATGACATCTGCTTCCTGGACCTTTAAATCTCCACAGTCTGTACCAGTTGGACACTATGGTACGGCCTCATTTTTGCAAAATTTAATAGTCCAAAATTGAATTGTAGAATCTTAAAGTATCCTTTGCTACAGTGACACTGCTCTTAGAATCTTCTTTTCCATGAAAATAAGATGAATTGAGGAAGGAGCAAATGGACTGGAGGCAACAGAACAGAAATAAGGAAATGTGTGCGAGATGAAGAGAAGTGTGAAGTTTCTCACCTGGTTACAGACAGGCTTGTACTTAAGCCCAGGCTTATTCAGGATTTTCTCCAGCTGCCTGCTATTAAAGTTGGACACCCCAATGGACTTGACCAATCCTGCGTCCTTACACTTCTCCATGGCCTAGAAATGAAAGAGTTGTGAAGAGTCATATTTACATTGAAACAAATGCAGGATGGAACTGTTAAGAGTACACCATCTACCTCTGAACATATAGCTCAATGGCAGAGCACTTGCCAGTGTGTGAAAGACCCTGAGTTTGATCACTATCACACTTACACTGAAAAGGAGGCTCTAGGGAGACACTGCCCAGATGATCTCTGAAACTGAATATGAAGAAACCAAAAGAATGAAGACAATAGAGGAAGAAAGTGACAGACCTAAAGGAATTCACTTAGTGTGTCCTCACTAAGAAGCAGAGATTTTCACACTACATATGCTGGCAAAATACAGTCATTTCTGTCATCCTGAGTACCCCTTCATTTCCCTTTATTACACTGTAGTAATGCATGGCTCCCCTTCACTCCAATAACACACTATATAAACATAATGAATTTCTACACACAGAGGCATATACCCCATTTTCTCAAGCATGACCTGATTTCCCTCTCTCAGCTCCTCCATTGTCCCTCTTTCAACTGCTCACCTCCCATGTGGCACAGATATCCACAGTGTCCAATAATGTTTTCCCATGTTCATCTTCTGGAAACAGATCCTCCCCTGGCTGTAATAGAAACAGTCTTTACAATGATCTGACTAAACACATGTATCTCATAGGAATAGCTAGAAATGAGACACTAAATGTGTTTTAATTGGAGCATCATTCTACGTACTTACATTTACAAGGTGATTTGTATGTGGAATTATAAGTATTCTTAGATGCTTGATCTAGTCTCATATAAAATACATAAATGTAGTTTTACATATGTATTTATTATTATTATTAAATGGTTTTCTCATGTATCTGCCTGTAGCCCTCTAGCTGATGTCCATTATTTTGTCACTTCTTATTCATGTTTCTGGTGAGATCTTTCTCTTTCACTGAGAAATTCAGTAGACATACAACTTTGACCTTCAGTAGTAATGGATTTCACTCCTGACCCAGGACAAACAATCAGTGATTCTTTTTTTACCTAAATATATTTGGTCAAAAGGAAACTATGTCCACTAAAGATGGCCATTCAAGATTATATGCAAAGCTAATTTTGGAAAACTCAATGATGCTATAAGGAGGTAATAATCAGGAAGCTTAAACTGTCTCAATGACACAAGAAAATAAAATGCTGGAATAAAACTCAAATACCTACTAATGTAATATAAGGAATGCATAAATAGTGACATTTTTGAAGATTTTTTTTAATCCATAATTCTAGCAATTGCTTTGGCTTCCTATTTTATGGCCATTTGTGAAATCTATTTTGAGTAGACTACATAATGCAGAAATTGAGTTTACAGAAAAATATAATAGTATTTTATCTTGACCATCCAGAAAAATAATAACCACGTCCTGTTAAAGTTGATTAAGTCTGATCATTCAAATTGCTTACCTTCATTGGAACTGGGTAATGAATGATATAGAGGTCAACATAATCCAGTTGAAGGTTTTTCAATGATTTTTCCAAGTTAGATCGAACCAGCTCTGGTCTAAAGAAAGTGCACCAAAGCTATTTACATGAAAGAAAGGAAGTAATCCTGGATTAGTAAATTATCCAAATATGGAGGTTTTACCTAATACTGATACATTTTTACTACATAGAAACTTATAATCATACAACATAAAATTCCCTTTGTTCTGTGGCTTCCACTAATCTGACTTACACATATGAACATGATTACATGTTTGTTTTTAATCATTCAAAAAGAAAAGAAAACTTCTCAAAAGATAAAACTTCTATTTACTCAATAGATAAAAATATCTATTAATAATATTTATTCTCTGAATTATATCTCACAGAGATCAAAAGCAGTTATTAATGAAATTATTTGATCCATTCTTAGTATTAGAGAGGAATTAGCATCCCTTTGTTTACATCATTGAACAGAAGCAACAGATGACACTTTAATGTGTGATGAACACTAATAAATGTACTTTAACCTTTCATATGGAAGTTCTCTTTTACTGTTCTTCAATATTTAAAGGTAAAAAATAGTATTTGGGATATAGCAAATTTTACAAAGCTATCAAAGAGATTCAGAAAAACACAATTTCATAGTTTTACTTGAATTTACAGCCCATGTAAAAAAATACACTGCTTTGAACTGAAGCTCATAAAAGTAAAGGACTTTAGAATGATACATTGGTAAAAGTCATCTTTTTCTGCGTTTCATGCTGGAACTCATCTATGAATTATATGTAAATAAAAGTTGTACCGGTACGTATATTTTATCAATTAATAAATTATCCAATCAAATAAGTATTTACTTGCTTATATCACATTTCAATTAATATGTTCACCTGAACGTTATGCACACAATACCTTTGTAACAATGAATATGTCTTCTCTCCTCACAATGCCAGCTGCAATCTTGCTTCGAATAGCCTGTCCTACATCCTTTTCTGTTTGATACACATAAGCAGTATCGATGTGGCGGAACCCAGCCTCTATAGCTAAATTTATAGCCTCCAGGGGCTTATTTTCAGGAACCTAAGGAGGAACCAAAAGCAGTATTTAAAGACATGTAAGAGAGGTAGTTCAAGTGGATCTAATGGACAGTTCTTTAGAAAAGGAGGAATCTTATATTCTTATGTCATTTTCACACCACTTTACGACATCACAAGAAACTGGTTTCCTGGCCACTGAAATTTCACCTCCTGTAAAACTTAACAGTATCCACAAATAGTAACTGTGGAGATCACAGACATGGAGGTGATTTCAGAAGAATTGCCTTTTCCCCATATCTTAGGTTAGTTGAGCATTTGAGGTAATAGGTCTCAGCTTACTTTCACTGAACCCTTCCAAGATAATAATGAGGTTTTCACATCCCATAACTTCTTCACACCTATGCAATAATGGTCAATCATTTGCATCAGAGAACCTCAAACAGACATCAAATTCAGTGATTATCCTAAAAGGGCTTACGGAACTGAGCATATAGGAATAGTCCTGTTATAATTTATATAGTGGGGTCACACGAGAAAGGTGCTTGGAACAAAACAGAGAAAAAATACAAATTCAGTGCAGCATTATAAGTCTTCTCCCAGTGAAGACTCCTAAGAAATGTTGTGTTCTTTTCTGCATCAAATTGTGACTTTATATGGGAAATCTCATCTGTATAAAAAGCTGCCTATTTCTCATTTTGTAAGGGATTATTCATGTTAGGCTATCAGTCCTTTTTTTGTTTTGTTTTGTTTTTCGAGACAGGGTTTCTCTGTGTAGTTTTGGTGCCTGGATCTCGCTCTATAGACCAGGCTGGCTTCAAACTCACAGAGATCTGCCTGGCTCTGCCTCCTGAGTGCTGGGATTAAAGGCGTACACCACCACCGCCCGGCAGGTTATCAGTCCTTAAAAACAAAAGTTACTTTGTTTAGTGTAAATACAACCAGACTTAAATTTAAGATTATTGCCTGCTCTGCCAGACTTGGATAATACTATGAAGAGTCCTATGTTAAAGGGTAGAGGATCACATCAAACTCCTTTTGCATATATATTAAAAAAAATCAGAGCCAGACATGGTACACACACTTTAATCCCAGCACTCCTGAAACAAAGGCAAAAGGATCTCTGAGTTGAGGGTCTGCCTTGTCTACATAGCAAATTCTAGGCCCAGGGCTACACAGTAAGACTCTATATCAGAACAATTAAAAAAAAAAAGAAAGAAAGAAAAAGAGAAAAGAAATTCTTTTCACAATGAAGTGAAATGGTGGCTCTTAGCAATGAGCCCTGAAGCCTGCCCAGGTTTTCTAGTTACAGGGCTATTCAGGCTGAGGCTTCTGTAGTGATCTTGGCTCTTGTTTTCTCTTTCTTTTTCTTAACTGTTTTTTAGATTAATTTTATGTGAGAATGATTTGCCTGCATGTATGTCTGTGCAACACATGCATGCAGTGCCTGTGGAGGACGGAAGAGAGGGTCAGATCACTAGCACTGGAGTCTTTGATGGTTGTGAAGGGTCATGTGGCTGCTGGGAACAAAATCCCGGTCCCTGCAAGAGCAGCAAATGCTCTTAAACCACTGAGTCATCTCTCCAGACCCATTGCCTTCCCTTTCTTTTTGCCACTTTATCCTACAAAGTAATTAAGTCCTTCCTTCCCTTTCTTTTTGCCACTTTATCCTACAAAGTAATTAAGTCCCATCATGTTTCTTCACTCTTGCTCCTTGGATATTTCCGAGAAGATAAATTGTATCCCAAGCAGTATGGGCATTGGCACTTCATAAATATCTTTGTAAATCTTACAGATGAGAAATATTTGCATTCAAAGATGAAAAAATAGTTCACTTATCTTAAAATTGCATGGTCTAAAGAAGATTTTAAAATACAAAATTCCTTCCAGGTTTGTAAACTCCCCTCTTTGGTCACTTCATTTCAGAGAACCTTCTGGATCATATGCTATAAACCTAATGTCTATTAGCAAAGATCAACACTTCACACCATTTTCACCATCATACTGTTGCAGTGTCCACTCAGTCCCCACAGCTGAGAGTGGTGTATTGGATGTTTTAATTAACTCACGTGCAGCATTTACTGTAAAATACTGACCACTCCCCCAAAATAGAACTGCAGTAGTCCTTGGACGTTTGCTATGTTTCTCAGCTATACAAACATTCAGTATGCTGATTTCCTTTAGTCTTGAATTTTTTTAGTACAAGGGAAAGATTTGGGAATAAAGAGCTAAAAAGAGGAACCCTCCCTCCCTCCTTTTGGCATCAAATCAAGGAGCTGACAGTGTTCCGGACTGGTGAGTTTTATCTCTTCTGCCAAGCCAAGAAACACTGAAGCAATTGACATACGATTATATAATCAGACCTTGATGCAGAGCAATGTCAAACCATCTTCTTTCTTGTACATAGAATAGAGCTAGTCTAGAGAAACAGAACCAGGTGAGTCTCCCAGAGTCACATGGGAAATGGATGACTTGAGAGCTTTATCTCCTCCACTGTCCCTTAGCCTATTTTCTCTTGAGCCCTCCACCACAGCACCACTGTTCTTACCTCTTCGGGTTTATATGTGCCAAAGCCCAGTGCTGGAATGAAGTGGCCATCATTTAGTTTCACGTGTTGCTGCTTGGAACTCATTGTTTTCCACTCTTCTGACTAAGTTCTGATTCTCCTGCAGCCTTTGTGGAATCATGAATATATAGAGGCCATACATCAAATTCCTGGCTAATGGGTAACCAACCCCCATGACCCTACCCCAACCCCATGCAATGACTAACCAGCATTACTCTCTGATTAATGATTAAACAGTACTTCTGCCTGTCTAATGGTTAACAAGTGACATTACCTGTTTAACAATTAACCAATAGAAAAGGGGAGGTAAGAAATTTAAAGCATTACTTCACATGCCATTTGGTACCATACAGATATATAAAAGATAATTCCATAGTGAATCATTATATAATCATAATTTGTTTTAGTAAAATTTCTCTTTATACTGTATAAATTATTTCAAGCTATTGCAAGAGGGTAAAGAACAATTACTTATTGTTTGCTACATAGAAATCTATTCCCTTATGGTTATGGCATGCTTCAAATCTCCCCTAGTCTCGAGCTCAGTAACACTCTTAGTTCTTTGCTCCTAGAAGAGAAAACATCAAATACAGCATAGTAAATTGAGCAAGCAGGTTAGCACTGGGTTTTAGCAAACAAGGAAACAAGAACAGACTTCAAAATCAGAGCAGACCAAGCTGGGCAACAGTGGCTTTGATTACGATAGGCACACTCTCCTCTCTGTTACCTCTTCACCTATATTTGCCTTAGGGCAGGCACTTTTAGGGAAAGAGCCAGCATCTTTTAGATTTTACCCAAAGTGCAGTCTAAGAAGTGAGGAATAGAGTTTAAATAACCCCAAAGTTGAAAAGCTCACTAAGCAAGAGGGTAACAGCACCAGGTACACATTCCCATGTGAAAAAATTCCTGAGGCCAGTTTGAGCTTATTCAGGTAGAATCAACCACTCCCACTTGTTGCCCCTTAGGTCCTATTTGGAGGGAATTCTTGCACTGGCCCAGTGAGAATGACACTAGCAAATATTGTTACATCCTATCCACCTACACCATCTACGCAACCTACCAAGAGCCCCGAGTTGTCCCAATTAAAATGACCACTACTGCGGTACAGTCATTGTAAGTGTGCAGTAGTGGAATGTATACTTCGGTGGTAACAAACAACTGACTAACTGGACTTAAGACCCACTCAACAGTGGGGAAATCAGTCCTGGTATTGGAAACCTAGCCAACTACCCAGGACTAGGGAAGTCATGGGTTTTGGAGTAGAACCTATAACCACCCCTTTATTAAGCCATTATAATCCTACATTCTAAATATTTGTTCTTATACTCAAAGATAAGTGTAATCTTCATTCCTCATCAAAGAAACTTCTCTTTGAGACAGACACAGACCATTAAAGAAAAATCACAACTTATCAAAATGCACATTTGAGAAGCCTAGTCCCAGCTGATATATCTAGAGCACAGCTCCTGTACCTAAGGCTCAGGGATCACCTATTGCTCTCTATATCCTGATTTGGAGAGACCATTGGTCAGCTAACCTCTTGCTCAACATTAGCCTCTTGAAATCTTCCAGAGAACAGGGAAAGTGGCTCATCTGGCTATTTCTTGCTGGGTGAGGGCATTGTCATAAGGAACATCTAGATGAGGGGTCACAGATTCCTCCAAGGAAGGGAGTTCAGGGACTCTAAAAGAAGACAGCGATCATTGTGATCGAAGATTAGCATCACTTGGTCACCATCAGTTAAAGTTTTGGGTGTGGAGTCTTGAAGATATCAGTTGTACCAGGTTGCTAAGTGAACAAGAATCAAAGACACAAGATGAAAATCAAACCATGAGAAAAAGGTTGTGGAAGACTGTTGGTATAAGAAAACATGTATTTTTTTTTTATTTGAAAATCCTAAAGAAGACTTGTATCACTTGGTCCATGTAAGCTATGATATATCTGAATCTGGTTGAGGAGAGGTGGAACAATATTTTTTCGTAACTATTTGAAAACGAATCTGTTAAGTTCTGGAACCAACAAATTTGATCACCCATTATAGGATGAGCAGGGACTGAAAATGTTCAACATCATAGAGAATGAGAGGCTAATCAGGGCCACATCTGCTTGAGCAATGTTAGAAAAACATCTGGAAATATTTTTATGGGAGTCAAGGAATGATTTATCAGGTGAGGTCAGAAGTAAGAGTGAATGTGTCATTAAGACACCTCCCATAAGAGTAATTTCAATTGCAGGAGCTATGGTGCATGATCCATAGATCTGCTTATCTGAACCTTGGTGCCTCTTTGAAGAGAAATCACAAGTGGTTAATTGGTTCATTACTCCGGTGTGCTTATCTTGCTTCTCATTCTGAGTCTTTCTGGAAAATAAGGTTTTATCCTTGGCTGTGGATCCAGTTATTAATTCCTTGGAGTTTGACAGCTTTTTGAATATTGTCCCTTTTATACTGACTAAAACCAGTTATCTGAATGACTGTCTTTGTATGTGTTTGGGGGCACAGGGGTTCCCTGGCTACACTAGGTCAGAATCAGAATCTTAGTTGGAGCAGATAGCACTACTGTGTAGCTGAAAGTTTTCCTGTGTTCTGCCTGGCCCACAGTCAGGACAAATCTCTGTCACCTGCCAGTCCCACAGCTGCTTGGCCCCAAATAAACACACACAGGCTAATATTATTTTTAAACTATGGCAGGCTTCTTGTTATCTAGTTCATATATCTTAAATTAACCCGTTTCTATAAATCTATATTTGCCATGTGGCTTGTGGCTTACTGGCACTTTTACATCTTGCTTCTCATGGTGGCAGCTGGTGGCATCTCCTCTGCTCTGTCTTTCTCCTTCCTCTCTATCTATTTGGATTTTCCATCTGCCTCTAAGCTGCCTTGCCATAGGCCAAACAGCTTTATTTATCAACCAATCAAAGCAACATATTTCCACAGCACACAGAATGACATCACCCATCACTACTGTTGTTGTTTTTATGCATTTAAGACCATATGGGCAGTAAAAAAATTACCCTCTTTATAAATAAGCAGGCTAAAACAGTTAGGGAGCCTACATGGGACCAACCTAGGTCTTCTGCATGTGTGTAACAGTTGTGTAGCTTAGTCTGTTTGTAAGACTCCTAGCAATGAGATCATGACCTGTCCCTGGTGCTTTGCTGTCATTTGGGAACCTGTTCCCCATGATGGATTACCTTGATGGGAGTGGGGTCAGGGGGAGGGGCTCAGTCCTGCCTCAACTTGATGTGCCATGCTTTGTTCAAGCCCATGGGAGGCCTTCCCTGTTCTGAATGGAAAAGAAGGAGGAGTAGATGGAAAGGACAACAGATGGGAGACAGGAGGGGGAGGAGCTGTGGTTGGTATGTAAAATGAATCAAAAATGTTAATTAAATAAAAATAAATAAGTAATACCCCCCCAAAAAAATCAGGCTAACTTTTAGGGACTTTCGGGGTTTTTATTTTGTTTTGTTTATTTTCTTCTACCAAGTGTGCCATCTGAAGGAATGGGTCGGATTCTTGCTGACCATGTGGCTTACCACAGAAGCACAGAGAATATTCTCTTTTCTTTGACTATACTAGCAGAATATGTGCCACTTAGAGTTCAGTATTTGGAATTCTAAGGCCTCTACAATTAACAGAAGCGGTGACTTACCAGAGAAGCAAAACATTTAGAAGGGTTACTTTTCCCTCTGTGTTCTGGCTAACTTTGGAAAGTAAGGGCCAAAACACTGGCTATCCTTTTGACCTCCCATACTCACAGCCTAAGCCTTCAAACTTTGACTCTAAACACTCACAAATAAAGTTTTGTCCATCTTACACAGTGAGACATGACTTTTTCTAGCTCTAACTTTTCTGTGACCCCCACAGTTTAGACAAGAACAGATTTTTAACAAATTTGGCAGACAGTATTATTATCTTGATTAAACACAAATTTTTCTCTATCTGAGCCTTTATGAATGATACAAACCAGATACTTTTACACTGAGTTAAAGCCAGGCTTTATACCAGTGCACTGAATTCTGACCTTAGAAATTTTAATAACCTTTACCCATCATATATATGCTCTCTATAAATCCCTCCTCCACAAAACTTTGTGACTTGCATCCTTTCCTTACTAATCACTGGTCCCTTCCTGTTTAATTCCCTTTCTTAACTTGAAACAGAGTAACATAAACAAATATACAACTTATTGAAAGGGAATTGAATCCAAATTATGTTCATAGCTTCAGGTAACCTATGGGTACCTGTTCACATGTTGTTAAAGTGTAAGACTCTTGTCTGTTGTAAGTCCTAGGCAGCTGTAATCTCTGTTTGGATAATTTTTTAAAAAATTTTTACATATTTTTTCTTGGTCTCATATGATTCTGAGAGTTTCTGAATGTTACATTCTAGCAAGACTTGGCCATGATAGGAGTGTCCAAGGACCTTGAACAGAGAACTATCAAACAATAAAAGGCATGAAAGAATACACACAGAGAGCCAAAACCATGTGTATGCTAACCTTGCAATTGCAGTTTGGGACACAAAAATGTGTCTGTTCCAATGAAGGACGGTGAGAGATTGCAAATGGTTACTTTTTCATGGAGGACCAATGGAGGAAAGAGATACCACTAGTGCCTACTGGACAGATCAGCTGGTGAATGACAACAGTGCTGTGGGAGGGTCTGTATGTCAAATCTATTACTCTGATTGGTCAATAAATAAAACACTGATTGGCCAGTGGCCAGGCAGGAAGTAGGTGGGACAAGGAGAGAGGAGAATTCTGGGAAGCAGAAGGCTGAGGCAGAGATACTGCCAGCTGCCGCCATGATCAGCAGCATGTGAAGACACCGGTAAGCCACCAGCCATGTGGCAAGGTATAGATTTATGGAAATGGATTAATTTAAGCTATAAGGACAGTTAGCAAGAAGCCTGCCACGGCCATACAGTTTGTAAGCAATATAAGTCTCTGTGTTTACTTGGTCAGGTCTGAGCAGCTGTGGGACTGGCAGGGGACAAAGATTTGTCCTGACTGTGGGCAAGGCAGGAAAACTCTAGCTACACAACAGGCTGCACCCAGGACACTTATCCTACTTCTAACAAGCAAAGCTTTGCCCAGACATTGGAAATGGGCATTGAAAAGCAAAAGAAATCAGGCCTTTCTCCTCTCAGAGTGATCACCTCTCTCCCTCATAAATAAGGAAAAGTTTTCAGAGAGGGAACACTTGATGTTGAAGGGCTACCATGTGACATTTTCAAATTTCAAATTGTTTAATGATCTCCATGCTGCAATAAGGACAGATTGTACTACATTTTATTCCCCGCAGAATTTTTGAATCACTATCTAGTCTGTAAGTGCTAAAGCAGACTATTTCACATGAATAAATACTTGGAATTTGCAGCTTTTGCAGAAGCTAGAATTGTCCTCTTTTAAGGATGCTCACGTGGACAAAGGAAACTTTTCCCTTTTTTTCTTTTTCACCTGCAAAGTCGATCAAGCAGGAGGACAGTGATGTAATTAACATAAAAAGCTTAAACATAAGAAATCTCATTGCATTTTTCATCCCTTAAGAGCATGTCAATAACTGTAGTATGGAATCTGGATTTAGGCTACCATCCAGAGATCAATTCTTTCCACCCCCAGTTCGGAGTAAAGCCAGGCTTCATTGCATAAGAAAACATCCTGCCTCCTTTTGAGAGTGTCTGGGTTAAAATTATCCCAGATCTTTAGGATGCAGCCCAGGGGAGCGACATCTGATGAGATAGAGATGGGCCTGATTCCCCATCTACAAACAGGAAACATGAATCAGAAAGGTAAGCAGCATCTCAGATGAGGTGTCCCTCTCCACTCAGGCTATCCTCCAACCATGGTTGGATGTGCACACTTCTATGCATGGTCTAGCCTCCTGGGGGCAGTCCTGGGTCCCTTTAGAAGTCAGCAGGGAATTTTCCCCTTGTGATTGAACAGTGACCAGTCTCTGGGTCATCCTTTTCTGATGCCCACCATTGTCAACTCTCTCCCTTCATGCTTTGGCTGTCCTCCCAGATATCCACCAGCCTAATTCTGTCTTAAGGTCTGTGTAATCAAGGAGTTTCTCCCAGTTGATTATGGTCCCCCTTTTCAATTAAACCTGGTGTTTGAGCTTGCTGGTTTCCTGACAACATAGATGGTACCTGTCATCAAATAACAGTCAAAGAGAGTCCCTGCTTTGTTTAGGAGTTCATATATGCTTTTTGAGGAATACACACAAGCTGAGAACATGACTCAGTGGCATAGTGCACGCCTCATATGTACAAGGCCCTGGGCTCAATCCCCACTGTTGCAAAAAAATAAAGAAAACATTTTCTTTGGGCCTGTGAGGTGGCTTGGCTGATAAAGGCACTTTCTGTACAAGTATGAAAACCTGCAATTGGTCCCCAGAAAGGTGGAAGCAGAAAGCCAATCTGCAAAACTATCTTTGGACCTCTCTGGGCATGCCATGACATATGTGCCCTGAAAACATTATACACATGCAAATGCACATCAGACACAATAGTAGTAGTAATAATAACAATAACAACAACAATAATAATAATAATTTAAACAAAATATTTTTAAAGACGTCCCAAAGAATCCAAGCAACAGGGGCAAGGATCCCCCTACAAGGTATGAGGACAAGTAAGGGTCACCCTGTATTAACAGTCATCATGTTTTCCCAGGTTATACCAGGGTTTCATAATAAAAGAACATTACAGAAGGCTGCTTGGCTAAAAAGACATCCATACTGCAGCCCTCAGAACAAAGATCTTCTAGATGTATCTATAAAGTCGTGCAACTTCTCCAGATAGGCAAGTGCAACATCAGACTAACCTGCTCAGGGGACTCCAGTGTCTTTACAGGACATGTGAGAGGAAGCACAAATGGGTTTCATCTGGGCAAAAACTGTAGGAGAAGGAGGAAGACAAGACCCTTGGCCATTCCAAGTTTTTACTAACGGTCACACAACCAACAAACCAGGGACAGCTGCCCTTAGGTCTTCAGGTTAAAGAAAAGAATGAAAGGGACAGGCTGGGTAGCAGTGGCAATTAAACCAGGCATGCAAGCCAGTGGCAGAGAAGAGAAGGTGGAGAGAGAAGAGCCATTTAAGCTAAGGGGTTCTTGCAGCAGAAAAAGTAACAAGAGGGAAAATTTTCAGTACCTTAGGAGACATGAAAGAAATGACAAAATGCGGGTGGCTAACAGAAGCAGAGTCCTTGCCACAGGTGGGCTAGGGAGGAGGAGGATGCCTCATGAGCCCTTTAGCTAAAGAAAGTGGACCTGTACTGGGCACCAGATGTCTGCAGGAGGTCGCCAGCTCCCCCTGCTCTCAACTCCAGCTCCTGTCTTGCTTCTTCTGCCTTCCAGAGGGAAGAAAGCACCATAGGGAGAGCAGCCAAAGGTTTCATTTTAGAGAACAAGGAAGCAAGCATTCTCTTCAAAATAAGAGCAGGCTGAGCCCTGCAGCAGCACTGGGGGCCTGGCAGCCAGGGACTTCTATTTCTCCTTTCCTTCATAACACTTGCTCTCCCTCCTCCAGGGCGGGCACTTCTAGGAAAGGGTCCTGCTTTCCTCAGGAGCCCACTTTCCTCCGGTTTCCATCTAAGATAGAGAAGGATCAAAATATGTATAGGATTTTAATTACCCACAAAATAAAAAAGATCACTGTGCATGCTCCCCTGACCATGCTGGCTTAAGGTGACTCAGCTTCTACCACCTGCTGTTATTTATGTTCTATTTGTGGGTGCAGGCATGAGTCAGTCCTTCCCAGAGCTAACCTCCTGCCTAAAGTTTGTGAGTGCTTAATATTCAAAGCTTTTTGTTATGATGAAGTGTCTACTTGATCACACAACACAAGAAACAATTAGCCATTGTTACAGTCCCAAAGGACCTAGGATTTCTAGAGATGCTTTTGTCTCTCCTGGGCTATCAGACTTTTCAAACAATGGACCCCAAGAAGTTAGAATTCTCCCAAGAATCTTGCACTTGGAGAAGGAAAGGCTGAAATTGCAGGTGCAGCCAGAAGACAAAATTGTCCCCAGGAGAAAGACTTATGATGTATAAAACAATCTTTCAGGAGGAATTCAAGCCACAAGGGACCACAATTTGACCACAGTACATAGTTATACATACCTCACACCATAATAGTGGTCATTTCAGATGAGACAATTCAGGGCCTTCTGTTGGGGTATGCAGATAGTAGTGATGGATATAACAGACATACTTCTCTTGGAGAGTGATTATTAGCAACTTTAGCTGGGATGATACCAGCTCATTAAGCATTTTAAATTTTGCATTCTTTGAATCATAGACTACAGTAAATAATAAAGAATTTGGTAACAAGTTAGCACTGTAATTATGCAAAGGCATTTATTTATTTATTTATTTTGGAGATAATATAGAATGTTTGAAATTTTTACATTTCTTACAAGTACTTTTTAAAACAGCATCAATGACCATTAATAAGTTTTCCTTGGCCTGATACAAAAGTACAACCCACTTATATAATAGTTCCATTTAATCAGAGCTATAAATATAGGCACTAAACAACTTCAGCCCAAATAGAAATTTAAATGATCCTTAACTCTATTAAAGTTCTGAAAATTTTAACCAAAAAAAAAAAAAAAATGTTAAACATCTATTACAATAGAACATAAATACTTTAAATTTGGGGTTTTGTTTAGAAAACTTTGCTATAAATAGATCATTTTCTAAGAATGTCA